CCTGATATAATTGAAATAACTTAAAGGTAGGCTATAAAAGAAAGCTGAGTCATGAAGTAGAGGAAAAGTCTCAGTAGCTGACTCCTTCTACATTAACATCTTCATTGTTACCACCATATTGGCATTGCCTGCTAGTTTAGGGTAAAAGGCAAGTTTAATCTTGCCATTCCAAAAAAAATTCCAAAAAGGATGTTTCTATTGAGTCAAATGTAAATTAAACATCTGAATGTGAAAGAACTGATTTTATAAGTAGGTTTTACAAAACTACTGAGAGTGTGAACCACAGGAGTTTCAATGATAATATTTTAAAATAATATAGTGATTCGGGCCACCAGAAGCTGGATAAATTGGTATAATCTGAATTCTGAAAACATATATACTGGAGTTAGTAGTGAATGGAGACCTGAAATATAAACTTGTCCCTGAAGATGGTTGAGAAGAAAAAGTAAACAGTTGATTGACTGCACTGCATCAGGATCTGCATGGGATACTACAGAACTGGAGTCCCACAGTAGGCACAGGTGAAAGCAGAACAGCATCCAGAGAAATGAAATTAAAGTTAACAGGTTTAGATGAGAGATTGGGAACAAATTTTAAGAACTGAGGAAAAGAAACCTTAGATTGCAACTAACTATCCATGACTGGAGATCAAATCAGCTAGAATTTGAATGACTAATTAAATTGAGAAGTATGGTCCTTTATAAAAGCTACAAGGCATTTGTAGTTCACAGAAAGTTGAGGTGAATGACCATAATTGTCTTTTTATCTCTTCTGGCCACAGCATCTGCAAATTTGTAGTGTTCAGCATAACATTGTATCCCAGTTCTCTAGAGGTTTTCTGAAGCTGACACAAAACTCCTCATCCACAGGTCAGGCAAAACACCTTCCCTTTCCATTGTTGCAAAATTCAGACAAAACCAGGTAGTCTCAAGTGCACTTGGTAGTCTCAAATGCACACCAGCAAGGCAGATAGCTTTTAATTTGAGGATCAAACATAAAGAACTCAATAGCAACCTTGCTTGGTGCCAATTTACTTGTGATCTGACGGAACCAATCTGAACCCAACAAGCTCCCAGAGATAACAGTTTGTCAATTTTCCATTTCAAAGGCAGCATGATAACTAAAAGCTTACAGATGTATCACATGGAAATCAGACTTGCAGCAAGCAGCAAACTTTCTGATAAAGGCCTAAGCCTAATTCTATTGAAGTCAATGACAAACCCCAGCAGATTTCAATAGAGGCTGAGTGAGGATCAAGGTGAGAAGCAGCTCTGAGAACAGTTATAATCAACTCAGTCCCCAGTTAGGACAGAAGAAACATGAGAGAATTTTTTTGGCAGGCAGTGCCCAAGTTGCAAATTCACAAAGAGTGAGTTGCAAGGATCTGTGACACTGAGAATTTTAAGGGACCCTTGCAGAAATTGGTAGGATTTGGCAAGGTCAGCATGTTCCCATTTAGCCTGGTATTGCCATGCCCAGTGTGCACTTACCTGACAGCAGTTTCCCTCTTTATTTAGCCCCCAGCAATCTCCAGACTGTCCACAGAAGCTGCAGCCAAACTGTTGTACTGGACCATAAACACAGAGAGTGTGGCTGATGAAGCAATAAATAAAATGTGTAGGCAGAGCAGGGGCAACAACTTTGCCTCTTTTTTCTAAACAGGTGTTATAAGAACAGCAAAATGTAGTTACATCTATGGCATGGCCAGTGCAAGACATGAGAGAGGCAGGGAGCAGATACATGTCTCTGTATGTCTCTAGCACTGGCTGCAGCTAGAATGTGATTCAGTCTCAGATCAACAGTGACTACTCTGATTCCCATGCATCAGTTGCAAGAGAAATTCAAAATACCTGTACACTACTCTCTGCTACTGGAACAATCTCCAAGCAGCACTGTTGTTCACACAGGCAGAAATGGAGCAATTCCTTTAAGGAACTTTGCCTCTGTTTTTCTGAGTGCAAAGGAAATGGACAGAGGCATGTTTGGTGCTCCTAATCATAAGCGATGTGTTTTATAGAGTACTTCTGTAAAGACTTCTGTGATGGGTGAGAAAGAAGCAAAGAAGAAAAAGAAATTTTCCTCCAATTTCTTGCTAGAAAAAGGTTAAGGAGAAGGCTCCAAAATAATACTCACTCCTTTGTGTCAGCTACAGATCAGGGTAAGGTAGACAAAAATGAAAAGACTTCCCAAGGTTATGCTACACAGTCAGGATTTCAACGCAGAACTTCTGAACACAACCCCAGTGCCTGAGCCACACATTCATTTTCTTCTCTGTATTCCCCCACAATCTTAGGCCATGTGGCCACTGTTGGTGAAATGAAAAACAGGTGCAGATCCATGAACAGATGGGAGACCAGCCCTGGCTGATCTCTGGAGGATAATACAATGTTGTTTTCCAGCAAAGAGGATTCCAAAGAACCACAGAGGCAGCACCCCTGCCCTAAAACTAAAGCTGCTCTGTCTCACACTAAATGCTATCTCCACCAGCCCAGCAAGTGGGAGTTTTGAGGAATGGTTCTGTTGTCTATCAGCAAAGGACACTGCTTCACTGACCTCTCAGATTTGCAATATTGACATCTCTGTTTTTCAGACATGACTGTAAAGATTGTAGAAGACTAATTGCAATTCCATTCTTAGCAGTAACTTCTTAGCAGTAACTGCAGCCAACGTTTCTAAGTTGCTGGAACATGAAATTTCTTCCCTTGAGTAGACATCTTTGGAATGTCTAACACTCAAAAAATGCCATTAGCCATATGCAACATCTTTCTCTGGGAAAATCACTAGTGGTATGGGACAAATCTCCAGGTAAGATGAATAATATATTTGTTCTGGATCTTTAAGGAGAGTTCTACTTTTAATTTCCAGTTCATGGGGAGCTGATGGCTTATTCCACAATAAGTGCTTAAACAAAGAACTTGGACTGCTTTCCTAATGGGAGAGTGACAGTAGATTACTAATAGGTCAATTGGGAATCTTAGGCCTGGGCCTAAGCACAGGATGGAGTGCAAAATATTCCCTGCCTTGTGTGACCCACAGTTACTGTCCCTGGAAGACACATCTCCCCTCCATGTGTCACCTGACACATCAGCCAGAAGTATCAGAGAAGGCAGGGCAGTCCTCCCTTTGCACAGAGCACAACCCAGAGGGAGAGTACATGCCAGAGAACAGGGGTGTTTCTTGGGATCATAGAATAGTTTGGATTGGACAGGACCTTTAAAGGCCATCTAGTCCAACCCTCCTGGCTGTGAGCAGAGACATCTTCATCTGGATAAGGTTGCTCAGTACCCCATCCTACCTGACCTTGAAGATTTCCAGGAATGAAGCATCTCTGACCTATCTGGGCAATCTGTTCCAGTGTTTCACCACCCTCATTGTAAAATAATTCTTGCTTATATCTACTCTAAATATACCCTCTTTTAGTTTAAAATCATTCCCCTTATCCGATCACTACAGGTCCTACAAACATTTCAGCTTAGATACTACTGGGTCCAGCCTTCTCATTGTTTTTTGGTTTTGTTTTGTGCAAAGACACTCCAGTAGTGCTGTGTCCAAGAGAGATTGTTTGTCCTTGCTAAAGCTGCTTTTACAGCAAAAATGCCTGTCTACTTGTGCCAAGACATTTGAAGACAACCTGTTTCCTTAGACTCTGTTTGGGGCACAAAACCTGATTTGAAAAAGCAGGCCAAAACCACACTGCTGGCATACATGTATTCTGCTCAACTGTGAGTCAAATTCATTGGGAAAATCTATCTTGTCCAAGTGTTAGTCAGGTTTTGAAGGGAAACATTCTCCACCGATGACACAAGCAGAATTAAACAACAGAGACCACCCAGAACACTGGGAATTTCGAACTTCTTGGCCTCAGTTTCTCTGATTTGTTCTTCCCAGCTTCATGTGTGCTCTTTGAGACAGAAAAGAGCATTTCCTTAATTTTGAACTAGTATTTGTCTTCCAATGAAACATTTGTGAAAGCAGCTGGTCCCAGAGGTTGAATGTTCCAAAATCCCATTTTGGAGCCAAGTACGTACGTAGTGGAGTCAGTCGTGACACCACTTTATAGAGAACAGACAATGAGTTTTGGATCTTGTGAGTACCTTTTCTCCCTGCAGATAAGTTCCCTTCCCCCCTTCTTTCGGAAACATCTCAGTCTGTATTGGAAACAGAGGATGTAATTTATTTTTATCGCCTTCCCTGTCAAACTGGCCAACTGCCACTGGGTTCTGCTTTCAGATCTAGCAAGAGGCAGGAGAATCACAGTGAAGAACCATTCATTTCAGTGGCTCCTCCTCTGTTTCCTTATCTTATTTTGAGGCTACCTACTGTGCTGTCTTATCACTCTTTCTAATCCTGCAAAACTTCTCTGCAACTTGACCCCTGAGCAGAAAGAGCTGACCTGCTTAGACCGCCGTGCTTCTCCACTCCTGCTCCCATGCCCACAGAACGTGTTGCTCCTTCCTTTGGTACTGTTCCTTTTTCACTGCCTGTCGTACCCCTCACTCCTCTTTTCCCTAGCCCACTGCACTGCATTACATTTCCTAGCTGAATGTACATACAGCTGCGTGGTCTCCTCGGGGTATGTGCAATTCCTCACTGTCCAGCCTGCCCTTTGATGTCTGCTGAAGAAGGATACATCTCCTTTTCCATCTCTTCACATGTGCCTATTAATTACTCTCTTCAGAGGAACTGTTTACTGACTATCACTCTGTTTACAGTTGACTACAGCTAAACATTTGGTCTTCACAGTTCCCCTCTTCTACACCACCCACCCAGTTTCTTCTCAATTGTTGCAAAATAGATGTCTCCAAATATCTTTATAAAAGACACAGATACAATGTACGTATGTTCCACACCCAGCCTCCTGCTCCAAAATGCTGGGTTTGCCTCCCTTGCAGGAAAGTAGAGAAAGAAGCTATATTGGTATTTTTGTCTTGAGGCCTCTAACAGAAAAGAAGCATTGAAGCTTTTGCTGCACAGATTCCTACCTTGTGTGCTGTGGAAAACCCAGAAAGACCTGGAAGCATCAGACTCATGACCTGTGAAGAAATAATACAAGTCCAGTATCAAGTACAGAAGTCTGCCCACTGAAATGAGAAGGACTATCCTATGCATAAACTGTGCATATGTGTTTGTGAGATCAAGGGCCCTTGGGCAGAGGGAGTTTTAATAGGTTAGGGAGGAAAAAATTACTCTAACAAATGTGCCGAGAAGTTGTATGGTTATAATGTAGCAGTTCAGATCTCATATGAAAATTCCTTCAGATTTCCTCCTTACTCCATATGGAGTTAAAATATTACTAAATAGTATGAAATAAATTAAAACCAAATGTGGGATAAATTATGGGGTTTTTTCCCAATGAACATATTATTGTCAATCATAGAATCATGGAATGGTTTTGGTTGGAAGGGACTGACTTCCAACGCCCCTACTATGGACAAAGGACACCTTCCACCACACCAGGTGGCTCAGAGCTCCATCCAGCCTGGCCTTGAGCATTTCCAGGGATGGGGCAGCCACAGCTTCTCTGGACAACCTGTGCTAGTGCCCAGCCAGCCTCACAGGGAAGAATTTCTTCCTCATATGTGATCTAAACCTGCCCTCTGCCAGTTTAAACCCATTACCCTTTGTCTCATGTCCTTGAAAAAACCCCATGCAGTTTTCCTGTGGCCCCTTTAGGCACTGGAAAGAGCTGTAAGATCTCCCCAGAGCCTTCTCTTCTCCAGGCTGAGTGACCCCAGCTCTCTGGGCCTGCCTGCACTGGAGAGCTGCTCCTGCTCCTTGTGGCAGAGGCAGCTGCTGCTTTAACTGGGCCTGGAAGGAACAGAAGCTTTAAACCACTTACAGCCCACAGTTTGCAGACCTTATCTCATGCAACAGAAGTTAGGGATGGGGTGGGGCAGGGAAAGGCCAAAGTAGGGACTTCAGAAAGGCCTGTGGAAGCACACAGAACCAGCTCAGGTTACAGAGCCTTCCAGCTGAAAAGTCCAGGGGTACAGAAACATGGGAATGAACCTGTGTGCAGCTAATTTTCATCAGTTATCCCAGATAGGAAAAACAGCCACACCAGAAAACAGACGGCAAAGCCTAACGTGTCAATTTTGGTGTCATTCACACTCTTTTCCCTGATGCTCCTGTAAATGCAGAATCTGCATTTATATCCAAAACACTTTTTAATGAGTGCTTTATTGACACATTTGTTCTACTTCTATATAACAGGATAATGACGAACAGCTGGCTGCAGATAATGACAGGCACTAATTTATATTGGGTTACTACCTTCAGATTCTGTAGGCTGTTACCTATTTTTTTCTTTACATTTTTAGCATTCTCACCCTCTGTTGTACTTGCATTTTATGGTGCTCACATTTTCTATTCTTGTGAGCTAGGAAATGAATAAGCATTTTAAAAGCTTTATGTTTAATTACATTTTCAGCTATTAATTAGACACATAAACAAATTAAATGTACATTTAATTAAATGTTACCCGTTTAAACGGGTAAACTGGAAGCAGAGCCCATCGACTTTAAAACCAATATTGTGTGCATTTATCTTAATTAGTCAGGTAGTGTTAGGGATTAATGAACTTTAACTGTTCTATTCATAATCAGATGCATTAGCATTTGTGTCTTTGTGGCACACAGAAGATGAGTTCAGATGGGAGCTCTCTCCTGCTATGTATTTACAAACAGAATGGGAGGTGCATCTGCAAGACTTTCTTTGTCACCTTGAAAAGGAAATACTGATTATTTAGCTTTCACAGGTGTGAACTGAAATTTCAAAACATCATCCAAAACTTTCCCCTACCTTGTCATTTCATATTTACACCCAGGAGATTTTTCTTCCACAGAGTGGCCATTCAGCATTTTGGGAAGTAGATTCTCATTCTGGCACATCCAGGTTCCAGTCTGAGCAGATAAAGCTCATGAGAAAATATTAAGCCCACAAATGTCCTAAAGAACTTACCTGACTGTGAAAGTAGTTATTTCAGTGGGCAGAGAAAGTAATTTGGGAGCAGTTTGGAGCACCTGATCTGTCTGTGCAGCAAACAATTTGCCATGTGTTGTCTTCCCATTAAACACACAACTAGGGCTGGTGATTAATTCCATTTCTCTGATAAATGAATTATTCTGATCATCTCTGCTTATTTATTGGTGCTGGGAAGTAAAATGTGGAGCCATAGCTCCTCCAATATTTCATTCTACAGACGAGTTTATAACTTCAAGTTTGGAGAATTTGTTTTTATAATTGATACACACACATTCAAGGTAATGAAATTTCTTTAGTTCTATTGGACCATCACAAGTATTTATTTTTCCTTTCTGTATCATGGATAGAGTGTGCATTTAATGTGCATACTTAACTTACTTGTATATAAAGAAGTAATCCAGCAAACTGGTAAATCAGCCTGTTCTGGCATTTCCAAGTCTTCCTTTGATACCAAGATACAGTGAGAAAACATCAGCACAAAAATAGAGAGAAAAATCCACATTACTAAGTTATCAAGACTGCTGTGCCCATTTTGTATTTCCATTTACTTTGAATAATTTCCTCCTGAATGTTTTTTTTTAAGAGCTGAAATATAGAATTTTCCAAAACAAATAAAATCTTGTATGGTATTCAGTGCTTTGATGGAAAGAAATTGCTCTAGCTATAGGGTCTGCATTTTGTATAATTTTCTGAAGTCTAGGGCTAGCAGGGCTCTACATCTAACACAGACTGAACTTTGAGTTATATTGTAAGTTATTTTTTCATCCATTGGCAGCAGTTGCTGCTCTGGCTGATATAGTTTATAATTAACTCCTTTTGTCTCTCTGTGTTTAGGTGATACTATTAAAACTACAGTGGAACTTTCATGAAAATGAAACAGTCTTGGTATCCCTGTTTCTCTAGTTCACCTGAAATAACCACAATTCCAAGTATTCAGCCCAGCCACTGGGCCTTCTAACAGATCTGCTTTCCAGGATAAGTTACAGTCACTATTTGGGGAAAGATTTTTATCTCAGCTGGTATAATTTTGTAGAAGTTTCCCCCCCCCCCCCCCCCCCCCCCCTTAATCAGGTTCTTTTAAACAGATGTTATTAATTGCATCAAAACATTTTAAAAGTCAGGATTAGGAGAGAATTGAAAGGGATTCTGTTTACAGCCAGACAATTTGCAATTTCAGAGCCTGTTCTGGACAGTTTCTGACTGATACAAACAACCTGAGGTGACTGCAGAGAGCAGCTGAAGTACTGAACAGGCACACACCATGCTTGGGGTAACAGCTGAGCAGTGGATTTGTTATCTTCACCAAGAAATAAACTCTCCCTGTTTTGCCAAGGCATCCAGGTTGACAGAGAGATTAACTTCAGTAAAACAAATGAAGGCTAAACAATACAAAACAACCCCCAAATAGCACCTGACTTATCAGCTCAGAGCTGAGGGAAAGAGGAGGAAGGATTGCAGCACTCTCCTCTTAGCACTGCTCTCCCCCGCCTGGGAGACTTTCACCCCCTTGCACGGGCAGAGGAGCAGCAGGAAGGCAGAGCCAGGCCTGCCTTGCCCCGGGGACTCCCTCCCTGCAGCCCAGGCTGGGGGATGCCCGGGAGCAGGGAGCCACAGCCTGTGTGCACAGGCAGCAAGCTGCCAGCCTGCTCCTTCATCCCTGCTGGAGCCCCACTCTTGATTTGCTGCCAGGCTTTAAAGAGCTTTAAAGTTTCTTCTTTTCACAGGACATTTTAGTATCCACAGGCAAGGGGTATTAGGATGCAGAAGGTATTGGTGTTACAAACAAACAGCAAAGTTTACCACCCACTGTCTTGGTTGTCTTCTACACATGGTTCCGTTTTACTTTTGGTCTGCCATGATTTCCAGATGCTGGGGGAAAATGTTTAATTCTTGGGGAAATTTTAATGAAGAATCCAGAATCTTTTTAGCAGCAACCATGCAATAGCTGGAGGAAAAAAAAGGTAAAGTCCATTTTAAGATCTTCCCAATGCTTTAGATTTACAGAACTTTTCTACAATATTTCAAATGTTAATTCTAGAAGAACTGAATTTAACAAAGGTATCCAAACATGCATCTCTTACACACACACACAAAAAAAAAGTCAAATGGAAAAGAAAGAAGGAAACATGGAAAGAAAAAAAAAAAAGATTAAGTACTTGTGATCAGAAAGTATATGCAAACAGAACAGCATGTGGTAAAAGAAAAATAAGAATGGGCAAATGGCCGTTTTTACTCTCTCTGAAAGAAGTGACAAACTTTTAAGTCTGATTCAGAAAAGAGAAGGGGAGTATTGGATGTTCAAAGGCTGGGTTAGAATTGTTACTGGAGTAAAGTCCAAATTGGGAATGTGTGCTGGGGAAGGCACTGGGCATATCTCCCACTGCTGCTGCTGAAGCCATTGTGAAAGGCAGCCTGGCATGGCAGGTCTGAGCTCCCCTTTGGGCAGACCATGCAGAGATTTGTCTCTGCAGCAAACACGTGCTTGACCTGCGCTCTGCACCTCTGAGGTTACCAGGGACAGACTCAGGAGCTGGAAGCAGTGCTGAGCACAGCAGCTGTGCTGACAGCCCTCATTCAAACATCAGCACTGCACACAGACAGAGCTGGGATCTTTGATGTGCTTGAACTGCAGACTTTCCCCCCCTGAAGTGCCACAAAACCTACACAGCTGCACCAATCAGCTCAGAAGTAACTTTGCACTGAACTTCCTGCACAAAGGGGCTCAGATCTAGGCAGCCTGTCTTCAGGACAGGCAGAGACAGGAGTGAGCTGTACAAGAGGCTGTGCCTGTGGGATCAGCTGCTCCTGCTTTGCTGTCTGCCTGTGCAATCCCCTTCCTGCTCTGCAGCAGCAAACGCAGCTCAGGCACTGCTGCTCCTCGGGCACTGACTGGACACTTCTGGCCTGGCTTCACAGGAGCAGCAACACTTCTTGTGCCTGCAGCATGCTCTGCTCCTTAAAAACATGTCAGGCTTTGTTCCGATAAAGGCAGAAGAGAGTTTTGCCACTGTTTTTCAAGCAACACGTTGCCTATGAGGAGAGAGAAATTTAAAAAACTCACTGATTTACCATGTTAAAAAAAGATGGCACATTTATTGCTACATAAATGTTATATACATAGTGTTTTCTGTTACATTGACAGAAATTTTTTGAACTTCTTGCTGCTGGTTGGAAAGGTTTATCAGCAATACCTTGAAATTTGACACAGGGTACAAATCTGCAATAAACCAACAATGGAAACTGGAGAACAAGATGAGAAGCAATTCATCTCGGACAATTAGCTCTTACAATACTCCATAGGTACTACACGGTATGCTAGAACCCTACTATGGTCTTACAATGCTATTGTAAATTTCTGATATTAATGAACAGGTTATGGTAAATAACCCTACATTTTTACTACCTAATATAGTAAAATAAAGTAAGAAACTTTTTACTGAAAACTTTTTTTGATTTCAAAAATCTAGAAAGAGTAATATTTAGAATTCAAGAAATTTTCTTACAAGATTATTGTATAAAAGACTAGCTACAGTGAAAAATAAGCCAAATGTTTTTTTCTTTCTATTTTATGAAGGAAAGCTTCTGGGCATACTGCAAAGTCTAATATAGCCAAAAAGACAACAAGCTTAGAAGGAAAAAGGCCAGGCAGTGGCACGTGATCACTTTCACACGTCATAAGCAACAAATTCCGTTTAGCTGATAAACACTGAAATGAAGAACAAGGCCACAGATATAATCAGGTGTTATTTGATGATATATGCAAATTAAAATAATAGAAATGAGTCCACTAATTCCACAAACTGTTTTGTTAGGAACCATCCAAAACATGAGCTTAAATTCATTAGTTTATTTTATCAATCAATCTTTTGTTCTTTCAAATTAAATGACTTCATAAAAATTATAGTTTTGTTCCTGTTTTCTGTGTGAACCAATTGCCAGTGATGAAAGATGCACTATATAAACAATAGCTCAGACAACCTTGGCTTAGGAAATTTCCTCCCATGGTCATTGCAGTGGAAGACAGTTTCCATGGAAGTTCAAAGGGATTTTAACCATTTCAACACATCTGTGACAAAGGAATACTTATGGACACTATTCTGGTGGAGAAACATTTAAAGGTTTAATGCTAATATGGCTTGGGACGGGGGTATTTGCATTTGATTCACACTACTTTTTCTCCACTGACAAGCCATACAACATGACATGATAGTTAACGTGTACAGGAAGGAAAAACTGGTGACCATTGCTCTTAAGATTCCATTAAGTAATAAGCCCACCTTGCTGGTGGTTGTATCATCACACTACCTGCCACGGTGAATTTAGGATTTTACTATTCACCAAAGTTACAGCCTGAAAAAAAAAAAAATCTCCTTTGTATTTTAATGCATTTTGTGCTTACATACAGCTAACACTTTACATGTACTATATGTAGTACTTACTGCTCGGAAAACAAAGCAACTCTAACAAAGTAGATTCTCCCCACCCAATTTACACTTCACGTTACAAGCTTTACTATGAAGCCTAGAAGCCTAAAAAGGTTTTGTTTATAATTAGAAAAAAAAAATGTTTGAGGAAAGTCTGAGGGAAAATAAAAATCACTTTTTAAATCCAAGAAATGTTATGGTCACAGTATTGCTCCAGCCTGTAGCCTTCATGAGGCCTCTAAGTGGTTTGAGGCACAGAGCTCAGTATGGAAGGGGAACTGTGACCATAACTGTTCAGATTACCAGAGATCAAAAATAACATAAAAAAGCTATACCAAGGAATAGTTTCCTATTGCATGGAAAACACTAGTCATATGGCAAAAGGAGAGGAAAGGACAACAAAAGACTTTTCCCTTCCTTTTTTAAGACACTAATAGGTATGCTGGGAATGCTACGGGTCGACGGTTGTCACTGCTTTGTTCTCTGAATGTGAACAGCTTTAGTAAATGCTGGCATTCAGCTGAAATTTTATCAGCTTTTAACATGTTAACTTTTCCCTTTATATGTAGACCTTTACAGTTCCATAACAATAAATAAAATTTGTAGTTACAATGCATTTGTCAATTCAGTTTAGGCACAAGGCAACTTCCACAATGAGTGGAGAGATCACAACAGTCTCTGATTGTGCAGAAGCGACACACTGCTTGCAACATAATGATATGTTCAGAGTATCTCATGGGCTGAAATTCTGTCTGAAGATCTTGTATCTTCACTCCTGATGCAGGTGTTGACCAGTAGCTTTGATCATAAGATTGCATTTGGGTTTCTTGCTTCAAGTGTTTTCTCCTGTCAGGTTTGTGTCTTCATATAATGTTAGTTGTCTGTGTCCTTGTGAAGAAAGGTCACCTTCTGTGTATCCTACCAATAATTCTGGAATTCTAGAAAGACGTTTAGAAGAAAGAGGTTATTAGGAAAAAAAAAAATTAAAAAGCTTAGTATCAACACTAGAGACCTAATTTGAACTGGATTTGGTGGCATTTTCAGTCATTTAGGTGCAAAAGAAGATCACATTGAAAGCCTCTGAAATCCCCCATTCCATCCCAATCCCACATTCTTGAACGTGATGTATTGAAGAGATTACTCTAAAGAACCTTTTGCTGGGCCTCTCTGGATAAGGGAGAAAGAATAATCTGCATATCTCAGACCTTCAGTCTGTGTGTGGCTTTGCTCTCCAAATCAAGCAGTGCCAAGTTCACTCCCTCCTGAAGGTAAATTGTCATGCTCCTGTACAGCCCTTTCTGTCAACGGTACACTTCAGTCAACCCACAAAGTTACTGATATTAAAAAAAGCAAAGACACCAAAGTGGTTCTTTCATATTTATATGGAAAGAACAGACTAAGTTGGCTGTAAATGAAAAATTATCTGACACTTCCAAAGTAGCCAATTGTTCTTGTATGAAATAAAAGAAATTAGAGAAATTCAAAGCATTAAGAATTAGAATATACACAACAAGAAACAACTTCCCAAAACATAAAATTCAGAAAAGTTCTGTATTAAAACAAGGACAATGAACCCAATTTTTTATTCTTTTTGAAAGTGGCAACAGCTCTACTGGAATACTCAGTTTTTTTCCTTTTAAAACCAAGGTTTCTCAACTATTTAGAAAACCAACTAATAACATGAATAAACCCAAAATTCCTGTAGGGCTTCCCCATGAGTGTGTTTGAATGAGATGTTACATACTGAGCTACCTTGCAAAGCTGCAAACATAACTTTTAAAATTTAACTATCTTCACCTATACAGATTGTGACTTAAGACAGTTACCAGTCTCTGTTAGGCTAAAAAAAAGGAGTTAGAATGACTGGCCTTGAGCCAGAGAGCAAATCTCTCTGGGATGTGGAATCCCTGAAACTGTATCAGTATTGGGAAACAATACCTGGATTTTTAAATCAACTGATGTAATATTTAGACCATTTAAAGATGCATAATTCATCTCTAATAAGCTTGGCTTATCTAGCAAGCTGTTCACTGTTCCTCTGATGTCATGCCAAGAAGGCCACCTGAGCCAAGAGATGTAGCCATTGGCAACAAGGCATGAAAATAGAGACTGACGACAATTTCTTGGGGTTTTATTATAAACCCAAACAAATCTGCAGCGTTCTGCTTCTGCTGAGAGATGTGAAAGCACAGAGAAGTTTGGTGCTGCTGGCAGCTCAGGAACTAAACCCCACCATATCCAGGTGCCTCCCCCACTTTGTCCCACGCAAAGCAGCAGGAGCCATCCCCTGACGTACCTGGCTGGTGTTCACATATGACCCATAGGGTTGGTAGTTTCACTCAGGCCAGGGTGGCTTCCTGGGTGTGGTGTTGGTGGCTCTGCCGATACGGCAGAAACTTTTTCTTCTTCCCTTCTCTTAAGGCAGGCTGCTTTAGGGTTTAGGTTTCGTTCTGTAACACAGGAATCAGAGTTCTTAATATCCCAAATGCTGACAACCACGGGCAATATCGATACAAGAACCCTGGAGTAAAAATAGCTCTGCAGCTTCCCTCTTCAGCTGCTGACACCCCCTGCTCACCCACAGGTGTCCAAAGCTGCAGACAATCACTACTGAAAGTCCTGCCAGACAGCTCCTAAACTGGTATTTAAAAAACCCAGAGACAAAAAGCCAAACCCAAATGCTTTTAGCAGCCTACTTACACCTTCAGAAACTTTTAAAAAGCACCTCCTTTATCAGCATAAGACACTTAAATGGTAAATGAGAACTGTCTGTGATTTACAATATAATAAAATTGAATGTATCCATTTTGTTGTTAGGCTGAAGTCTTACCAACCTTGCTGACATCACACTAGTTTTAGTAATGTTGCTGCTTCTTTCTTCCCAGTAAGTATTAGCCAGCTGTTAGGGCAGGGGAGGCAGCACACCCTGAATGGATAGTTCTCATCAGCCTCAATCTGTGAAATCACCTTGTGCCCATCTTGGTTCAATCAAAAGACTGTGATGACAGTCACAT